TAAGAAGAACTAGATGAGAACGAACGAAGATATTGTATTTGGAATTTGAAATCAAGTAGTTATCAATTTATAGCAGCACACGTGTAACTAAGTTTGTTCACAATTAATTTAGTCAAGCCCTTTTGTTAATTTATTTAACGGATAGAGTCGCTCGTACACTAACAACTTATGTATACCATTGTACCTTTATTGTTGTTGCACTTGTATGAGTATGTATGCTTGAGCATTGCTTACTGCCTACGCATATATTCATTCTACTAGCTTTACTGTTCGTCTCGTAATTGATTTGTGATTCATTCATTTCCCTATGTCTGTGTTGTATGTACATTTTAATCATGTTCATTGACTCACCGACTCGCTCACTCGCTTGCTCGCTCGCTTGCTCACTCGTTTGCACGCTTACTTTTTGGTACTACTCTTTCATGCTTGCTTAGCGTATCAGTAATATTTGTTATATATGCGTGGTGCAATAATAAACGTTATCAACACTTCGTATTCTCTTTCCGACTAATGCACCGTTGAGGCGTTATCTAGTGACGGTTATCAGGACGAAGTTTAAGGATTACATTGAATACCGACAACTACAAATAATAAAGGAATCATTAGTTCATACAAACACCACAATATCATAATCGAAAGAATGCTCATTCAATGAAAACTCGAATGTCACTGTATTTGCTTCAAAATTTTTTTTCGTTAGGTGGAATAAAGGATTCAACACCGAATATCTATGGTGTCCCATTATATTACTATGAATTTGAATGTAAAGATTTAAAAGCAGTAATTAAAAACCTTAAACTTCATGGCTAAGTGGAAAATCAACAAAATAACTGTATTTCATTCAATAAAAACGAAAAGGTTAAAAACGATTAAATTAGTGTTTTGGTCGTTTTACTAGGTAGAAACCCAAGTGTTTATTTTTTACTGACTTATGTGGCCTAAATACCATAAAAATATATCAGAAAATACTATCTGGATAGTTCAATAAATTCATTCCTGATTGTTTGCTTCCTATCATTCCATATTTTTTTCCCTGTGTCTTGCTTCCTGTACGCCTGTGGATTTTGTTAATCTTTAACAATAAACTATCTCTATAACTGGTGTTCAGGCTTTTGAATAATCTCGAGTAAATCCATAGTTCTACTGAAAGATTTAGCCTCCATTAAATACTCAGTTAACGAGATACAATTTGTTGGAGTCAGATATAAAGGAAATTAGCATCTACAAAGTTGGTGAACCGTATTTAGAACTTGAACCATTTCTCTACAAACTCTGCTGCATATTCTCCAATCATTCACATTGGAATTACTATTACAATTACTAACAATTCAGTGAACGTCATAATAAATTCACTCATAACAGTATTCCTTTGGAAGTTGATGTGCAGACATGGACTCAATCAGACTCATACAGAAATTTACAGAGTGGATTAAGTGTCCAAATTACAGTGAGTAGATAAATAATACAGCAGTTGAATGGGCCTACTACAGGTTCTGCCATCAAAATCAGTATACTGATTTATTTTCATATAAACATCGAGTGGTCTGATAAAGTCATTTATCATACACTGATTATTAACACAAAGTTCATGTAATGAGAATTATCCATTATTCTGATCTAACTGATTAAACTGTTTACAGTAATTCGAAAAAGAAATCCGACCATTTACGCTTGCTAATCAGTTTTTATTGGAAATGAATAGAAGCGCAAGACCACGTTCGTACTCAGTGTTTTTCTTACATTGTATTACTTAGGTTTTTAATTAAGTATAATATTCATTCAGTATAATACACGTTTTTATCTCAGTTTTATATTTTGTTCAGCATACTTCTTATGTAATATGATATTCATTTTAATTCAACGTGATAATTATTTAGTATAACAGCCGTTCGTATTAATTTGGTGTGAATTTTATTCAGTAAACATCTAGCATGCATATGTAAAATCAGTTCTTATATTTCACATACTTCGGTTATATATGGTATCCACCAACTAATCATCGAATTTCAGTAAAATCGATGTATGAAGTAATGTATATCTTATTTTGGAGCGTGGATGAAATCATCATCTACACTCAGTTTTTAACCTCTGCTTTGAGTCTCGAAAATCTTACTATTTTCCTGTTTCGAGAGAACCTTTTCTAACAGATACAACAGATTTGACAATTCCATTTCTACTACTTATAATATTTATAGTAGTATAATATGGAAGTCGTTTTGCCCGATTAAATAATTTAACTGTTCAGTCAATAAACTGACATTCTTCTAGTACTCGACATATAACCTGCTCCACCAAGTAGTCACACAGTGTTTAGCGTAGAGAAAAAGATGTATGTATTGCAAATAACCGGTAAAATGGACATACTACTTGAAACCCTAAACTGATATTTCCGAAAAATTTATTTTAATATCGAGAACGACTATAAAAAATACTTTAATTAAACAATATCTGATAAGCATTTGGGTAGTTACTTCATAAATTAAAGTTGAAATCTTTTCTCGATACGTTTTGAAAATCATGTCCAGTATTTAAACCATACCGAAAATATGTCTTATTCAATAATCCTATACTTAAATGGACTACGACGAAAATCTTGTCTTATCAACGTACTTAAAACCTTTGTCTATAGAAGCATTTATTATCGCTTTTCTTTCAAAGAAACATTTTTACCATTAACAATATACTGAAAACGGTGAAGCAAATTATCTCAACAGATAATTCATACCAGTACTAACATATTTTTGAAGCGGAATACAGGCAATTTGACATGCAACCTAAATTAAATGGGTATATCAAGGTGTATGAGTGAATCGGGATTGACAAATACACTTGAAGTTTTGATTCATTTTAAGACTATTTCTAGTCACTGAACATTCTTGAAGCTTTTTAAATAAAATTATTTATTGTTATTAACAGTGGTTCTTAGTATTGTTCGGCTGAAAAGTGTTTATTATTCCTGATGTGAAGTTTCGTTACTTAATGCTGACTTTTGTATCTTTATACCAAGAATTCGTAAACTTCTCAATCAAACGTGTTTATTAAAAGTTTTCTTAAAATACTGTCAATTAAGAAATGGTTATTTAAAATCAATCATCTGAACGTTGTAGGGATTGTACATTACAGTATAGTTGTAGATAGGAAAAATGTTTTTCGAAGAAAAGTCATTATTCAAAAGAAAATGTATAATTTTTTTTTAGAAACTAAGCAAAACAATTCACAAAGATTATCTATAATTATTTTATAAGCCACCGTAAATGTTTCCATTGAAAACATTTTACTAACTAGATTATACTAACAACTTTTGAACATTAGATGATTAACGGTTGGTTCGTCTCCAACCGGGAAAAAAAGAGATTTCCTTCTTTAGATATCTTCTGGATTTTACGTTAGAGATCTCGAATTTCTGTTAACAAACAAGCTATGATACTTTAGGGACCATACAAAGTTATTGGGACATTTAAAAAATTAAAGCGTTTATTCTTCATGAGATAATTGTCCATCATTCGATATGCTTGTATAATTAAGATAAATAATAGCAAATTTGTTTTTTTTTAGCTGAAATAGATTTCTAATCTGTATCAGTTGAATTTCATCGAATCAAAAACAGCTGTAAAAACATGAGATTCATAAGATAATGAACGATTCGTTCTTTTTTTTATTATTCTACCATGAGATTAAAAGATTAGAAATAGATTTATGATGTCAACTATGTACATATTAAGAAATATTTCGAAACGATAACAATTATTAACTAAAAACTAAAAGTTTGAGACATCAAGGAAAAGCTTGGACGAGATTGCCAGGCAAAACGTTGGATTTACTTCAAATTCTTCCGCTGAGATTTTACAAATACATTCTTCCTCTTTAATGACTAGCATTAACTGGGCGCCCAAATATTGTGAAACTATTCGTTCAAATGCAGACTAAAGTTCTTATTTATTAAAGGTTTGAGTATTCTGAAAAACATTTTCCAATGAAATCTATTTGTTGGCTCTACCATTTTGTTTAGTGATGAAATGTATATTCTTTTTTTAAAAAGAAAGAATTTCTTGTAGTTTAATTGGCGGATCTCGAAACTGCAAGAAATTGTCGTTTGGGGTTTTATTTATTATGAAATTGTTTGTAGTGAGAAATATCATCCTAGTAATTAAATGAGTATTGATAAATGATTTGAATGTTAGGTAATGATTACATTTTTGTTGCATATAGATTTAACTTAAAATTATTTTGTAAGTTTAATTTAATCAAAGAAACAACCGCAGTTTTCTCCTCTGTAGACAAATATGAAAACTATATTTTTTCATTCCTCATGTATCCAAGATATTAATAATTCAATCTATAATGAAGTCTTCAATTTAAGAGCTAAAATTATTCCTAAAAATCAACTACTTATAAGTAACAGCCGTTATTACGATGATTATGCTAAGGATATTTAACTGAGCTCACCGTCGTGACAATTCTTGTTATGAGCATAATGTCTATGTCTGAAATTCAATAAACCTCAAAACGAATGACTGGTAGCACATATTGATCAGATGAACTAATAATTGTTTACCTGATATATGATAATCATTATATTACCCTATTTTCAATCAATCTTAATTGTAGATAAAATACGCCTGTAAACATGTTTCATAATATGTCTACAGTTTACAATATAATTAACTGTTTCCGAACTCAATGTTCATTTATGTACATCAAATAATCTAGATTAAAAAGTTATCAGATCTATGGTTTCTCCGATTAATAAACACTTTCGTGAGAAACAGCATGATGCTATTCATGTTTAACTCCCCACATGGTCTGAACAATCATTTTACTACAGTATAACTTAATAATACAAAGAATAAATCATCCACCCAAAACAAAGCCCTTTATAATATTTGTGGTATTACTTAATATATCATCAAGTAATGTCTCCTGAATAACATATATACAGTGGTTTTTTCAAACAAAAAGAATCAACTCCATCACTTGTTATATTTATGGAATGAATAGAATCAATAACAAGCAACAACGAAAAGAAAAACTGAAATTCTACTAACTCCTGGACACATTTCACTAGATTTTAATGAAAACAAAAGTTGAAAATAACAACAATAAAAAAACACGTATCATAAATTGATGAAAAGAATACATGAAAATAAACAATTAATCTATAGGACTTAGAGAGCAAGAAAAAATTATAAAAGTAAAGATATTTCTTCAATGAAATAATCATATGATTACACGAATAATTGTAAGAAATAATAAGAAACTACTGATATAACTATCAATAGTTTATACAACTGTCATTGAAAATGAAAAGGAAAGAAAAACATTTTAAATTATCTTTAATATATATTACTAAAATCACTATGACAACTAAATCATGAATAATAATAATAATAATAATAATAATAATATATAATATATTACTGAAGATCAATTTTCCTTTTAGACAAAATGATTGATTTTAATTTTTTTAAAAAAAAAAACATTTTATTCATTCAGAAATGAAAATATTCATCTCTTCATTATTGGTCAGCAAAAAAATTAATAATTTTATGGAAGAATTCAAAAAATTAAATTACGGAAACAAAGTACATTTACAATGGAATAAATGAATTACCAACATACTTATGGATTGCTGATATTCGTTGATAATTAAGGTCATTATGTAATAGAATTTTGACAAATTCGGCTATGAATACACAATAGATCACGTAAATACTAAATGAAATTATTTTAAAGAAAAACAAACAAACAAACAAAAAAATTGTGTTTACTATTAATCTAATGTTGAGTAAAAAAATGTTAAAAAGTTAGTTGAATAACGTAATTATTCACAAGGAATGTATAAACAAATGCAAATCTAATAAGTCATAAATCTCCAAGAGTTATTTCCTGGAGTTCTAGTGAGATCCAGAAAATTGCTTGCAAAAGACAAGAAAGCATGAGGAAACACTAAGAAGCGTTTCATCCAATCAGCTTTCACTTGAAGTCTTAACCAAAAATATCAAGGAAGAGAAACGTCACATGCAGAGGCTCTGATTGGTTAGCTGCTGCACTGGTACTGTGTTTACTAGCATTTCCATAATCTTCTAGCAACCCAAGGACATTTAAAATATTATAAAAACCCTGTATTTTCTGTATTAAAATGAACCTTGGAGTAAACTACTTCTCGCATACTTTGAGTCTTCTCTCGTGTTCAGGTCGCTGTATAGTTCTAGGTTGGGGGTTACAAAATAGCTTAGGAGACGAATATAGCGTTCAATCCGCAAGACTTATCAACCAAAGGAGTTCAACCGGGTCTGTTGTGAGATAGTAACTCACTTAAGACAATGATGGACGGTGGTGAGATTTCGTGGATTGGTTGAAGTTAGACACTAACACCGTTGGATGCCGGTTCAGTGGTCTAAATGCTGAGCGTATGCGCGCGCGAGACTGATAGGTCCTGGGATCGGATTTTGCAAGGCGGGGCCGTGGATGCGCACTGCTGAGGAGTTCCGTACTAGAATGAAATGGCCGTCCAGTGCTTCCAGGTTTCCTATGGTGGTCTAGCTTCAATTGACCCATGAATTCAATTATTACAAATGTAAATACGATGTGTATCCGATCAAGTATGAATAAGCTAGTTTTAAAGAATAAGAGTTATTGTAGAAAAACAAATGATAAAATATGAAGTACTGTGACAGATTATTATAAAATAAATATGAATATAGCAGAATTCTGGAAAAAAATACAAGCACAGAAACAAAACACTGCGATATTATTTATCATGGAGATTTTTACGTCACCATTTGAATCAGTTATGGTTGGACGACAATGATATATATATATATATATATATATATATATATATGATTGTTATCCAAATATACATCCCGGCTACTCTAGTACATAGTTATCGACTTAAATCGCGTTAAGGAATAATGGAATTAAATAAGCTAAATATTAGAATACGTATATTTCAAACAAATGTTCATCCGGACAAACAACTAAAGAAACGAAGTATGAGCATCAGAAAGGCGAGTGAGCCAACTCAATTTGATCAAGTGTGACTCAACATTTATATTCAGACAAAAATAAGTTACAGACACATAACGAATAGAGCTAGCAATTAACACACATACGATTATATAAAAACCGTTAGAGCTAACAAGCGAATAATTGATAAGGTCAAAATGTGACTTGAGAAGAATGAATAGATTGATCTGTCCAAAAGCTGGAATAGCCTATGTGGACTTGACATAGTACCAACCACTATAGACTTTAAACGTTTGGATCAACGGTATATCAAAGACCAAAACAAGTGTTTCGAATATGTACGTTTCATCACACAACCGATATTTCATGCAGACAGTAAGAGATTCAGTACAGAGAAAGGTTCTTAATCTCATTCGATTGTAATAAATATGAATCAGAATTAATTGCTAAACAGTTAAAAGGATGCTAAAGTCAGATAGCGGATAAATTACATGATCAGTTGACATAGCCACATATAAAGATAATCGAAATTACAAGTGAATATTTGACAAAAATATATGTGTAAATGACAACCCAAAATGATCATAATTTGTCTGTCCAAAAGTTAAAAAAACTCACGTGAATCACTACAGTTCCACATCAATGATTGATATTTGTTGATAAAATAATTATTTTAGAAAGTTATTTATTTATCACGTTAATAGAACAAATATCAACCAGTTCATTTAAAAGAAATTGATATAAAGACCAGTTATTTACAAGTTTATTAATGGAAAATGAAAACTAAACAGTTCAACAACTGAATATTTCTCCAAGTAAAAGATATAAAACGTTTTTGAATTTTTGAATGAAAAAAGCGTGATTTATGTGATGTTTGTTACTACATCTGTCGTTAAGAGTGAAACACAAAAATATACGGATACTCGATACTTAACAACCTACAAAGAATACTGGTTTACTTTTATTATTAATTGTATGTTATCAAAACCATACATACAACATGTTAGCTTAAATTGGTCAATCAGTGATTATCAACGCAGAGACTGGGACAGATCCGTATTGGCCCAAGTTACCACATCACATTAGCACAGTAAGATGAAATTAATAAGAAGTATGGAAAGAGACCGAAGAAATACAGTAAAAATAACAATGCGAAAGGGTGAATATTAAGAAATCTGGTTCGAAAAGACATAATGGAAAGTTATGCATTACTAAATACTGGAATTCAGGATTGAGAGGAAAATAAGAAGAAGGAATACATCTCCGCCGTTTTGAACGATCATGAGCAATTTCACTTAAAGTCTTTAGATATTTATAGTCGTTATCGCATGGATCCAAATCAAATACTCTTCATCTACCAACATGGTTCAGACCGACAGTCAATGACTTCATGGACTAATGCCTTATCCTGCACTGACTGGTCCTAGCTTTTTTCTGACTTACTCCTAAACCAGAAAACAGCAACTGTCGAGGTAGATGGTGGTGACCTATGTCGTACCAACCTCAACAGAAAGGATTCATAACTTAATGCCCATTGTCTGAATTCATGGAATCATTAATGATGTAGACGAAATATGTATCTAACTTTCACTAGACATATTCCGACGAAAAATCCCGTCAATATCAAAGTGGATATAAAACATCAAATACGAGCGCCTCGGATATTTATATTTTATACGTTCATTTTGTCAGGGACACGTGCCTACTCAAAATATAAAGAAACGTTATTGCAACTCAACAAAGAAAACTAATAGCACAACAAAGAGACTGGCACAGGATAAAATAATAGTTGTACAGATATACACACAAGTCCGTCTTTATAGGCGTAGAATTACAAGGACAGGAATACAAAAGGTATGTGTGCTGATGATCACAACGTTAAGGAAACAAAAGGGTTATTAGAATGGTTAAAATGACCTAATAGTCACATGCTGTCTGAGTTAAGTCTGTCTGATAGTTTGGATAAATAATGTCAGTCTACAACAACATATAAGTTGTTACAATAACTTTATCAGTCGACGAATCATCTACATCAAGTTCCTGACGTATAACTTCAACACTACTAACTCGATCGTTAGACGAAAAGCGAAAAATGTCTCAAATACATCTATGATAAAAAAAACTTGCACTGTAAGCATCTCTTCCACTTCCAAGGACTGTGTTTCACAAACAAAAAGTAATATAGTGGGAATTATTGACCAATATACGCTGTTTTTGGTTAGTAAACGGGCATCTTGCCTATACCGTGAGTAAAGAAGCTTATGAAAGACTGACTGATATTTTTGGATCTCTACCGAGACTTTATTAGATACAAATCCGTTAAGACTGATGAGACTTCCATGACAAGCAAAGTGCTTAACCTATTTAACTAATTCACTCCATGTTATTAGTTCTGACTGATTTGTAACTTGTCCATAAAAGTCAATGAAAGAGGCACAAAAAACCATGTTTTGTATAAAGTATGATTCGGAGCATCAGAACAAGTGTATCTTACGTGTACAAATCAGCTTTTGATATTAGTGAGAGATTCCACAGTGAATTTTCAAAACATCCAAAAAAGTCACTTCTAAAGGCTATGAGACGTACAAGAACTCGAAAATTGGTCGAGAAGTAGGAAATTTCTATTCGACATTATCAGTTCATTATGAGAACTTTGAGTAATTAGTAGATTCTGCAACTTCCTGATGTTGAAAAAAAAACATTATAGACCAATGATTCTGAAAAATCATAAACAAATTTTGCCTTTTCTTTTAGTGTTTATTCACGCTCGAGGTATTTTATTGTAAGTTATTATACTGGAAATACTTAACACAAAAACAAATTGAGTAATAGTTTATACAAAATCTAAACAACAAAAGATTCATCTCAAGTAAAAGTTTGTATCATCTGACAACGAGTAACGATGAATGTAACAATTGCTTACCAGCTTTAGATTCATCATAAACAATTTTTTCAAACATAAAATATCTAATCTGTAGAAAAAAAGTGATTAACAACGTGAAAAAAGTAAAAAACAACCACTAGAGTTAATGAATTCAATAGAGAATTACCCACCTTAATGACGGAGGCTGATCCATTTTTTGTTATATCAATAGGCATCTGTTTGAGACTACAACCATCAATACCCAGAAATCGCAGAGAAGGCAGCATTCCTAATTCAATAGGAAGCAAATCCAGTGGCTTATTATTTGATAGATACAAATGTGTTAAATTTTGCAGTTTGCCTGAAAAAGTGATTAGAACAAAATATGTGGAAAATAAATAAGTGGTATCGAATGTGAAATAACACTACACAACATACAGACTCTCATGCGCTTCCAATCCTCAAGTTATACTTTAACTACTTGATAATTCATAAGTAGTGTAGATGTTTCTGCATCATTTGTAAGCCCTCGGTTTGCCGAAATCTATTAAAAATAATATGGCTGACGAATTTATGGAGATAACTACCATTCAAACGATATTTTCGGCTTCAATATTCAGAAGGTGTTAGCCCTCAAAAAAGCACTCTTATTTTTACCATTATTACTCACATTACTTTTAGTTTACGTTGATAACATTTTTCAGTTGACATAAATTTAGTACTTACCGATTTCAGGTGGTAAACGTTGAAGAAGATTGTCTTTCACTCTCAGTTTCCTTAAATTGTTCAGATTTCTTCAAAAATCAAAAAACATGCATAAAATAAGCTATGAAAGTGAAAAAAGAGAAATGTTGGGTCTATTAAAATAATTAAAAGTGCTTAATTAAATGGTACTTACGATATTCCTGGTAGTGAATTTTAGGACTTACTAGGCTATGTACGTAAATAATCGGTATATATTAGAAAGAATGGTATGCAAATACAGTCCATTCTTAATTTGAAGTGAGTGAAACGAATAAACATCAGACTAACTTCAAACCGCTAACGTAAGCAAATTAACCGAATTATTGCTTATATTGTATGCTTTCCGGAATGAACGTTAACATAAAACGACACAAATTCCAGTCCGTTGTCTGAGAGATTAGAATCATACTTTGCTATACCATTTATTTGCAGACGATACGCCCCAGTTCCTACACTAAGTAAATACCGGGTTCCGACTAAAGAGTTTTATATGACATGGTACAACGTGGTATTAATTCCACTTTCGCAGAGTACTTATGTTGTTCTTGCATTGCTTATCCCAAATAACTCTGCTTATAAAATTGATGACTATTATAACGTATGCTTTCATACCAATGTTGCACTCGAAAATGTCATTGCTCCCTGCTGTACACTATTGACATATTCGTCACTAATGCCCAGTCGAAGTAATTTATGAAATATGTCACTTCAAATAATGCACTTTTACGTTCTAAATGTTGTACACGTTTTATAACAACCAGATTGCGTCTGAAAGGTGATGTGCACCCTGTAATTACTGTCAATATATATATATATATAATTAAGATGCGCAACTTTCACACTCATTATAGTTTAACGAAAAGGTTAAACTAGTAGTAATGTTCGTTCTCCGTAATTAATGCAGAGCTTCTGTTGCCATTTTACACAACATTATCATATAGCAGTGACTTATTTGATTATTCCACGATGATTATCTCAATGTACTCTGGTGACCTCTTCCTTGTTTGGTTGTCTTCAGATATTTTATTAACTTCAAGACTCCTTTAGATCCATTTAATCATTTTGTCCAGTCGACTTCTGATCAAGTGACCTTTACCAGTTAGACTCGCCTAGGAAACCCTTTTTACTCACAAGAGACAATTTAACTAAGAAAAATGATTATCTCTACATTTTTTCCTCTTGGTTAATAATTAATTGATTGGCAAAATTGTTTTAACGCAGTAAGTTGACAAAATTTCTGTCGCACTGTTTACAAATTAATAATAATTATAGGTGTGTTTACAAAAAAAAATGAAAAAAGTAACTGATTTTTATTGAGATACTCAACAAAACATAAATAGTAAAATGTGAATGTTTAGTCATTAAGATACTATAACAGTCTCGTAACTTGGTACAGTACATATTTGCCTAAATAATTTATTATTGATATGTTTAGGTTAATTAAGTAAACTTTCATAAATAAACAGTAACACACATTGCATAATGTTTTTCTATGCTTGTAGGTATCATTACTAGGTTCGACTTGATAATTTCGAATAAATTGAGCAATGGGTAGATTGTTATAAACAAATAAATATAGTTGTAATATCCCGATGAGTAGAAAAAAATTTTTTCTGACGTTTCATGACTCAGTGTAAGCCACTTCCTCACAGAATAAATAACCAAATCAAAATTAATCCAGGTTTAAATAGCACAAAGGAACAACGCAAAAATATTATGTGAATATTATGGGTACATAATATTTTTCCGTTGTTCCTTTGTACTATTTAAATTTGGATTAATTTTGATTTGGTTATTTATTCTGTGAGGAAGTGGCTTACACTGAGTCATGAAACGTCAGAAAAATTTTTTTTCTACGCATTGGGATATTACAGAAACAATAATTTATTTTTCAATGCTTGTAATTGTTATATATATATATATAAACGTAGTGAAATTGGAATATCTTAGAAAAAATAGGTGTATCATCTTGTAAAATCCAATACATTGTTTTTTTTAAACCAAATAAGTAGGCCATTGAGATCACGAACTGATCTAAGTTAGACAACTATTGAGAACCTGGAGAACGTGAATAGCTATTCCATCCTAGTGTTAAACTATTCAAGAGTACACATCACCGACTTCACAACCGAGAGCCAAACCCAAGACATTCGACACATTGATTTAAATATGAGACATTTTCGTTAGGAACCATAGGTTCCATGTTGTGGAGTATTGGATGTGAACTGATGAGAAAATCCATACTAAGAAGTAACGGTCACTCGGCGCTTCCCAAGTTCCAATGGTTGTCTAACTCAGTTGGGTTAATGATCCTAACCAACATCAACAATCTCCAACACCCTATACTGACAAATGGACTCTATTCTGAGTTATCTGAAATTTAAAAAACCTTTAACGGATTACTCAAAAAAGCTATCTCATTGTTGATCGGTTTTTCCTACTGGGGTGTATAACCAATGCTAAACGACCCGTTTCATTACTGAAGGCAATTCTCAGCAAAAACTGACACCAGCCGAATAACCGATAAGAACGAAAAAAGCTAAAGAGCTATTTTTCTCTAGTTTGAATTATCTCAGTTCTAAAGAGGTTAGACACGAAACTAATGGCATTCGGTGTCCAGAGTAACTGTAAATTATAAATTAGATATTCATAGATCACTAGCACCGGCGTTAGTTAACTTTAAATGTAGCACTATCCTTTTATATTTAATTATCATCTCACTCCTTAAATTTGTAAGGAGTAAAATTCATATCTTTTCAACATAATATTTTAAAAAACCTGATGTATAATGAACCCATAGAAGATCAGCTTATTATCTCAAAAGTTTGTATAGCATAAAAGTGCACTCAATAAATCCTTCAAACTTCATAGTGTAAAGCAGAAGTTCTGTAGCAATATTATAGAATTCGATTATTACAAAGGTAACTAAACACTTTAAAATCATTTCACTACAACACTCAATGCATATATCACTATTACTATTATTTGACTTAAAGTACAAAAAAAAAACACAATAACATGCATTAACGAATAAGAAAAAAAATTCAATTTTCAGTTTAACGTGTTATAACAGATGGTTAATGGTGTTATGTAAAATAAATGAAAACAATTTTATTAAAGTAATAAAATAGCTTTAATACATTTGCATATTTATCATAAGTAATTGAGTGTTTATTAAAACAAATAATATAAAATTCTGTAAATAAAATACATAAATTTTGAAATTTTAATCCAACCAAATGTATTTCCGTTTAGTTTACTGATTGTTGACAATAAACCAATACAATTTGAGTAAACTAGCTTAACAATGACAACTAAATAGTTAAAAAAAAGTCAACTTTAGTTTACGAAAGAAAAATCCATCCATTTGAGATCAAATGGGAGAAAGTTAGTGACTGACTGATTAACTTATAAAAAAGATAGTTTAGAAATGATACACGAAATAATATGACATTGATAGGAAGAAATTTACTTTATTGGGCATTATAGTAGAATATTAATTGAAACTATCTGTATGGGGTTGTGGAGATTAGTAGGTTTTTGGTTGAGATCATGAACCAAGTAGTGTTAGATCATCATTGAAAACCCGGAAGAATTGGACGGCCGCTTCGTCCTATTGTGGACGCGCACTGCTGAGGAGTCCCACGGTGGGACGAAACGGTCATCCAGTGCTTCCAGGTTTACAGTGATGGTCTAACATAAATCGGTTCATAATCTTATTTAAAAACTTAATTTGAATTGTCAATTTTCAACATTTTAAAATATTATTAATCAAAACTGTAGATTAATTACACTAATAATGAGACTTGAAGAATGTCAGAGAGTATTCTTAGAAAAGTAATATAAAAGTCTTGAACATTTCTGAAAATAATTTTCTAACTATTAACTATACGAAATAATACGGATTTAAATGCAAATAATATTTTATCGTATGCTTTAGAAGTTAGTATATGACACCGATAACTCTTCTGAAAGCGGACAAGGCAAGCAAAAGTTAATACTTTTGACCAATATTTGAAAGTCGAATTATGTAATTGACTTGAACATATTAATGTGAAAAAGCAAAAAAAAATATAAGCATAGATTCAAATTTCGTTTGATCTACTTCAGCTCTAGCAAATAAATTGTCATAGTTCCTCATTATATTCAAAACATACTTTAAACCTAAGTATACAGGAAAAACAAACAGAATTAATGAACTATAAAATTTAAAACATGACCTAACAGATAAGAGGCAAAATTTATCCAACTGTAAATATTCTACGGCGAATTCATTTTTGGATATCTGATTGAGTATAAATCTACTATTATTAATAATCTCGGCGAGACTCTAATTTATGGACGAACCAATCAGAGGCGTTTGGGGGATTTCAAGGTTACGGCGTCAACTTCAGTGCTTAATGCTAACGTACGATGGGTTCACAAGGAATTTTGTACAAAACGTGGTAACTGAGCGGCTATAACTAATAAAACGGCGAGACTATAATTTGTCGACGAATCAATCAGGTATAAGATAACAGATTTCGGATTTGGGCACGAAAGCCTTTCATCCACTGGTATTATAGCTGATGTCAGTCCGTGATGAAAACCCCATATATAATTCCTAACTGAGGCAAATTATTACAATTATCGCGAACTGGATAATAAAAAGTACCAGTAACACTGGCTGCAGCCAGGTACTACAATATATAAGGATGATCGGAGAGCTTATAGACTCCTACATAAGCTTGTTTATGTGCATCGTGTCGTTATCCACAAGTGACATTTTGTGTACTCAACAACTGGAATGCACACAAGCAATATTGAAGCTATGTGGCCGAGGCTGAAAGTTTTTGAGACTATCATGAATCCAGAGGCCAACTATTCTGTAGCCATATGGATGATTTCCTCTACTGCATGCAATACGATTTTAGAACCTCTGAACCTCTTTTTAACTTTGACAAGTTTTTGAACCACATATAAGAACTGTATCCACTATATTTCCTTGGTTTTGTATAATATATTTTTATTCTATACTTACTGTTTGCTGATTGACTAGTATTCTCAAGGTCAATTAAAATTCGTTCAAAAATCGTCCATAAATTAGAGTCTCGCCATGATCTCGAATAAAATTTAATTCATTATATAGTTGGTAGTAACTTGCTGCTCTGGTTATTTATAAATAACTCAATGAGTTATTTACTTGCTTACTTACGTCTATTACCCCTCGTGAAAGGGTATAGGCTGCCCACCAGCATTCTCCAAACAGCTCTATTCTAATAAATCCTCTCCAGTTGCTGTTCATTTTTTTGATGTCTACTTCAAATCTGGACGAAGTGTGTCCTTTGGTCTTCTTCTTTCCCCCTTGAATCCAACGTTCCATGTTACGGCTTAATTCGTGATGCAGTTTGATGATCTCTGTAATGCATATTCTACCCATCTACAGTGTCTTTTACTATTTTCTTCATCAACTGGAAACTGTTTTGTTCTCTCCGACAGTATGCTGTTGCTGATGTTCTCCTGTCAACGGACGTTCAGTATCTTACGTAGACAGTTGTTTATAAATACCTGTACAGTTTTGATGATAGTTGTGGCAGTCCTCCACGTTTCAGCTACGTACAGTGGAGCTGCCGTGACGTCCGTGTTGAAGACTGTAACTTTGATGTTGGCTTACAGATACTTGAGTTCGATATGTTCTTCAACTGTAGGAATGCTGTTCTGGCTTTACCAATCGTTGCTTTTACATCTGCATCCGATCTATTTTGTTCATCCATGATGCTGTCCAGGTACGTAAAATTCATTAACTATTTCAATAAATTTTAGGAGTTACGTACCGATCGAAGTTGAACCGGTCTAACTTCAATCAGTTTGTGATTTCAATGAAATTCAACAATCCTCATCATCCCATACAGAGAATTTCGGATTTTCATCAAAGCCATAAATCAGCAAATGACTATAAGAATCACTAATTCACAGTTAACTCACCTTCATTTTTGCAATCAAGACAAGAATAACTTCGGATATGAAACAAGTTACTTAAACTGTAGATCAAATTAGTCTTTCATTTATATCTTTATTCTTTAGAATTAGTGAATGTGTTAAAATCACTTATTAAGTTCCTTTATACATGTTCATATTTGAAAGGTGAACAAAATGAAGTTATGAAAACAAGACAAATCCATCAAAAGTTTATAATAATAACTCACCCTATGGTTGACGGAAGTCTAGATAACTTGTTTACATCTAGATTAAGTGTTTGTAATTGACATAATTGTCCAATGTTTAAAGGAATTGATTTGATTTGATTGGATTCTAATTCCAATTGTACTAATCTAACCAATTCACCAATTCTATTTGGTAATCCCTAATCGATGGAATAAAATGTAAATAAACATGTTTGTACTGTGTTAAATGGAAATGGAAATAATTATCAAATGATTTGAATATACTTAAGTTATGTAAATTAAGTCAGACATAAATTCAGATAACATTTCCATATCATAAAAAATTATTCTATTCGATTGTTTACTGTAAACTGTATTTACTAACTGACAAAATAACATTCGAACCAACCTATTTATTTCAATGTTAATGAACGGTACAAATTGCAGTTAAACTTAGATAAAAATAGGCTGACAAAAATGAAATTTTTAAGTATACGGTTTATTGATGAGTTACGTATAGGTTGCTTTATTCAAATAATTGACGTAGGAGTAATTACAGATGTAAATAATAAAATTACAATGTGTTACTTATGTTTTAATCATAAGCCAGTGTTAAATTGAAAAAAAAATTGATGCTTACCTACCTGCTTGTTATTTTTATTAACTTAGTCATAAAGTTCCATAATTATCACATCACTTAAAATTAATGATATTGCATGAATCTTATTCAATTTGCTGTGTCAGTGATATTATACAGTATACATATGTAATTCATCGTAACGATGCACGGTGGACAAAAAAGATTAGCATCCGGAGAGATGGTGTTATACTCTGGTCATGAAGAAGAAAATACTTCGCAAAACCAACCCTCTGACGCTAGGCATTTCACTTTTACCTGATGATACATACTCTTATATCTGTCGACATCAGTAACACACACCTTATTTAATTACAAACGTTAGTTAAGTCCTATCAAATGTTAGCTATAATATTATAAAAGAAATCATTAAAAACGGTCAGATTAACGTTAAAACAGAGCTACTAATCATAGGATTTGTCAAGTGCTTATATTTTTAATGAATATGTACGTTTAACAGATTATATGCTTGGTACTGATCAATTAATAAGCACAGAAGAATTAAACATAAATAAATAAAATGAACATTATACTATAAAATATTACCTCTAAGCGATTACTAGTCAAATCTAATATTTCTAAAGATACTAACTCGCCAATTGAATCAGGTAGGTGACCAATTTGATTATAAGAAAGATCTAATTCAACAAGATGTTTCAATGTTTCTATTCCTTCAGAAAGACAGAATATAGAAAATATCAACTGATGTAAATGGGAAATAGTAAACAGTTCATGAACTCAATAAAATTGCTAAATAAATAACATAAATATAATCATTTAAAGTATGATTATTAGAATTAGAAAATAAGTCACATTTAAATATGACGTTTAGATAAAAATGAAATTATTATTATAATTACATGATTATACATTAGTGATATCAGAATTTTCCCACAATTCATAATATTGAATATCCTTCAAAATATATCACTGATCTTTGATGAAAATGTACAAGAGTAATAATTCATGATAAAATTCACCAAATATTGTTATGTGTTTATAATTTGATAAAGAATACCATCTTGAAATGAGAAAAGAACAAATTATCAAATTATTGCTGATTATGTATACAGAACAACATATTTTGTAGATACGTATCAAGATTTTGATAACGATTAGTGCACCAAATACTGGATTTTGTTCATGATAATCCAATAGAACCAATATAGATGTTTCAAATAGAAAGAAATACCTGCACTTACATTTATCACATTGATTTCATGGATTGTGTCGAGTCTTTGTTTGAATAACATAATATTACTATGAACAAATAATCGTTTCGAAACAAATTAGATAAATATTTTCTTTTCTTTATTGGCTACTTTTTAATGTGTTAAGTCAATAATAAAAAAAGGTTACTGTCTTTCGAAATTTTAATGACGTGATGTTTATCAATATAGACTTCGCAGATGTAAGAGATCATTGTAAACAAATTTGGGTCCATAAAGCACGATCAACAATGAAACTGTATGTTAATAAATGTTGAAGTTAAAAGACAGAAAGTAAAAAAAGCATAAGGAACATTTGTCTAGAACGTGTGGCTTGAAATATCTTGATGAGTTGTAAGAAATACATATAGTGATAAATGATCGCTTTTCGCTTTGTAATAGATGAAATGTAGCTAACAGTGGAATCCATGAAGCAGGTTTCGTCCTGTTTGTGATTCTTCAACCGAGTGTACTTGCACTGACAACGGGATAATCCAAGCCATTACAAACTAACGATTAGAACAGTTTTTGATTTAATGTTACAACTAAACAATCGCTTTTCAGTAGTTGTATACACGTTTAACTACTGGGCACAAGTGGTCAGCAACTATTGCCATAAAAGCTTTTTTTATTATTTCTATTGAATTACTGTTTATCATGCAAAGACATCGTTCCGAGGTGGTCAGTTACAATCAAGTCATAAGTTCATATTTCATATTCAATTTGTCAAATAAATGGAAATGTACATGTGTTTTGGATTCTCCTTCAAAGTTTTAATACCCAAAGTTATTATTCAAATTCTTGATTAGAGTTTACTATCCGTCTTTTCAGCAACAGAAATACCGTTTATAAAAAGAGTTGACTATTCACATCGTAAATGTAATGAACCACGTGATCATGATTTGCAAACAGCCTATTACAAACAACATAGAGAATTACAGTTATATAGAAATAATAACGTGCACTGACATAATCCAGCAAATGGATATTAAAAAATCTAAAACATGTATTTTCAGAACTATTACTAACATACAGCAAATTAACAAGTAACCTAATTGGTTGTATCTGTAAAATTTGAACAGTTACTCTACGATGTAACCTTTGTGACAGCATCATAAACAAATTCATGACATGTTTTAAAGTAGTTAACAGAAAAAACGTTTACCTGTAAAGTCCAAAGTAATAACGTTATTGTTGCATAAGTTTAGTGTAGTCAATTGAGTATTTTCTGACAGCTGAACTGCTTCGAATATTTCTAAACGATTATAATCCAATCTGAAATGCTTTAGAAAGAAAGCCGAAGTAAGAAAATAGATAAAAATGATGTATGAAACAAAATTTATTTCAGAAAAGATGTTTCAGAAAACAAATCGTGACAAAGTGACGAATTTACTCTGTCCTGGATTCCACTGCTAGCTATCATCCATTTCTGTTTCTTTATATTTTCGTACAACTAGGGCTTCAATAAACTTTAGTTTACGCCTTGGATAACTTTTGTGCAAAACCACAAAAGCTAAGTTAAGATTAGTCTTAGGACCTGTAACAACAACATGTTTGGCGGCAGAGGAAAATGAATTCTTACTGGGTCATTTGATTTTGTTTGCTTCCACAGTTATTTTGGTAAATGTTCAGAGACTATAACTTACAAATACCGATTACTCTTATATTTGTATACATGATCATACGAAAATTCAAACCTCATTTATGTATTCAGAAACAGATTGTTCTCACCCTGATTCAATTCTGGTAATGTCGAGTTATTATCCAGGGTGATGAGTTTAACACTGTCCTTCAAATCATTTTTAATATTATTATTCTTTTTTCCTCTTACATTCCATTTTTATAGTTGACCTTTTATTTTTCATATGTGTTAAGTCCTGATAAACATAATGACTGATGACTTTGGGATCCTTTTATGGACAAATACTAAACGTATATTTTTATCGCATAATTGTTAAGTAACTAAACTATTCATATTCCTATTCCCCTTATTATAAACTTTATTTTGATTTATGAACCATTATTATACGTTTTACCATTTTAGAATTATGCCCTGTCTATTAGTCACTGCCTCCCACATTCACAACCACATTTGGCCAAATTTTGCATAAATGTTATTTTCTATTTTATGCAACGTTATGGTCTGTTTTATTGGTATATAAACTCAGTATGTTTGAAATATAAGGATTCATATTACAGAGGCTGAGACTGGTGTTCTGGTCTCAACTGACTGGGCTAGGCGGAAAGCAGGATCAGTCAGGACTCTGGATCTCTCGCACGTGTTTTGCACGTCCTTGGTCCGATCGATAATTCGCTGCTTCTGATTGGCGGCTTTGGGCTATAACAATATGTAAATGTTCTTACTGAGTAAACACATGATCATATTTGTATGTATCATTGCCAAGGTTTGATTTGATAATTTCGAATAAATTGAGCATTGGGTAGATTGTTATAAATAAATAATATATTTGTAATATCCCAATGAGTGGAAAAATCTAATTTTCTATTCTTAGGGATATTACAAATATATTATTTATTTACATGATCATATTGTTCGAAATGTATTGCGTTTATATATACATAATCCTAATAATCTTCGTCTTCCTACTACACTATCCAAATATATCCAAGAGATTAATTGCTTTAAAAGTAAATACTTCAACTGTGTTATAACAGACTTAAAACACTGAAAATAAAGATTTCCGTGACACCTAAATTTTTTCTATCAAATAAACTCTGATAAAATAACTAAAACTAGTAAATTCAATAGTTATTAACTTAAAGAAATTGTTTGAATAATTCCAGACAATAAAACTTATTTTTGATTGAGATCATGAACCGATTGATGTTAGACTACCTTTGGAAACCTGGAAGCACTGGGCGGCCGTTTCGTCCTGTTGTGGGACTCCTCAGCGGCGCGCATCCACGATCCCGCTCGCGGGATTCGAACTCAAAGCCTTCGGTCTCGCGCGCGTACGTTTAACCTATCGGACCACTGAGCCGGCATCCGATGTTGATTGATAATCCAGCGAGCGGCACCACGGATGTGCACTGCTGAGGAGTCCCACAGTAGGACGAAACGACCGTCCAGTGCTTCCAGGTTTCCATAGGTGGTCTAACACCAATCGGTTCATGATCTCAATCAAAAACTTAATAATCTCCACAACCCCTATACTAACAAAACTTATTCTATAAAATGATTCAGGTTAAGATGCTGCAAATGATTTATTATGTGAAATAATAATCTTTCATACCTTATGATCATTCATTATTGTATCCATTTTCAAATTAACTACTAATTTCAGAATTTAAAACAAAAAAGTACAGTTGGATTCCATATGATTATTTCTAATTAAATATATTTAAGCAATTTAAAAATATTCTGATAAAAAAGAAACTTCGAAAATGCATTATCAGTGTGAAAACAAAAGTTAAATAAAGGCACATATGTACTTGCCTTGACATTTTTATACTGAGTTTTATCACCGATTGGGAAAGAATTGAAATCATTACGAGATAGTACTACAGAAAGTGAATCTTTTAAATGACACAGTAGATTTTCCTATTCAATTAAATATACAGAAAAAGATAGAAAGAAAAACAGGTTCTAATCGTAAACAAGCCAAAGAAAAAATAATATTACTTAGATAGTAGAATTAGTAAATGAATATAGATTAATTATAATGTATGTCTCATAGTCAACGTCATAGTGTGATCTCAGTGAAACAGAGATTGGTAACTTGAAAGCATTGGGGAGTTGTGTTTTTGTTGTATGGGATTGTTCAACAGTGTGCATTCACTACGCCAATGCTGGGGATAAATAAATCAAGCTTTGAATTAACGTTCTTCATGCTTTAATGTGATAGATGTGACCAATTTTCTATGGCTTTAAAATAAAAACCGAAGCTTTTAATTTTATGAAAACATCAATTACCGTTTAGATTACTTTATAACTGTACCTATCCACGTGTAACAAGCTAAAGCATGTAAGTTTTTCAAAATTTCATTGATAACATTGTTTTTGCTGTCCATGATATGAAGACAGAACTGCGAGTTCAAAGAAGTACGTTGAAACCCTATCTTTGCCATAACCTTAAATTATTATCATTACATTTTATTTCGTATTTGAAAATACCACCCCACCTCTTAAATTATTTCTCATAAGCATACGATTTTATTCATAATTATTTCTAACATCATTTTATTTCACTCAACCCCTCTATTATCTTTAATTATTGCAACAATAATACATTTTATTTATCTTACTCCATTCATATTACAAATCAGCTGCTAACTTATTTTTTCCTCATTTTTTAACCATCAGTCAGGAAAAAAGTGTGATCAAAAATAATGATAAAGGAAACCAATAAATGAAACTATGGGAAAGGATAATCGTCCATATTTTCCAAAGCTGTACAAAACATAAAGCAAAATCAGTAAGTGTTTAATGATTTTCATCTGCAACCATATAATTATGATTTTTTTTACAGAACTGTCTAGTTTATAATTGAAACCGGAAATGCCTATTAATATCATTGTGTTTAATGAAATGAATCATTAATATTATGTAATAAAAAAATAAATTGATATAAGGTACTCAAGAAGTAACCACAACAATGAATTTTCTACTTATCGATAATCAATTAAAATGTAATAATGCAAGTGACTGATTGGTGTGGAAACAACCAGCAGTATGTAGAAAGATTTATCGACAGTGCTATTCGAATAACTATCAGTATAAGGCTATGGAGGTTGTTGAGTTTTTATTGAGATAAAAAAGCCGATCAATGTCAGACCACCAATGAAAACCTGGAAGCACTGGGCGGACATTTCGTCCTAGTCCGGGATACTACAGGAGTGTTGATCCACAATCCAACCGATGGTACTCAAATCCAGGGCTTTCATGTTCGATATCCATCGTATAATCATAATGTCAATAATATCTTTAAATATCTCGTGATGTAATTTACCATCGACAAAAATGCCAAACGAATATTTTATAACTTTCTCTGCACTACTACTTACATATATACTATACAAGATTACATTGCATAGCAGTACAAACAAAATTAAGCAAACTGACCGGTAGCTGAGTTATATGATTGCCTTCAATATTCAGTTCGGTCAAATGCTCGCAATTACATATTGTAACTGGGAGTTCACTTAAGCAGTTATATCTGAAATACAAAAATACATTTTTGTTGACTAGAGATAATGAAGTTTAAAAATAAATATAGGACTAGTTTATTTTGGTGGTGTTTTGTTCTCTAAGCTGGATGGTTTGGTCGTGGAGCTTTCATCGTTCTTCTGAACGACATCATCAGCACAAACTTCAGATAGAAGTCTGAAGTTTGTGCTGATGATGTCGTTCAGAAGAACGATGAAAGCTCCACGACCAAACCATCCAGCTTAGAGAACAAAACACCACCAAAATCATCCACCTGAGCTACAAATCTTCTCCACCATCTCAGGACTAGTTTATATTTGAGTAATAAGAAAGTATGAATTACCAACTACTTTTATGTATTCCATGGAACCATTAAATGGTAGTCACATACACACATGCATATAAAACGACTTTAAGATGAAGAAATTGTACGATTCAATTATATATCTGCTGTATTTGTGTCTAACAAATCTTTAGCAAGTATACATCTGTGTATCGTTAATGGAATATTTTCTAAATACTAGCCAAGTTTTCGTGGCACTAACTTGATATCTGAAGAAAGAAACAATCACATGAAGTTGAAGTTTTCGCATTAACTTCACACTTCAATAAAAGACATCTAGAGCTACATTTTATAACAGCGGAATGTTTATCAACAGTTATGTGATCATCCAATTTTAGCTAAACTTAGAAGCTTTAATAGTGATCGAGAGTTTTCATTGTTACAGGTTCGGCAACTATACAATTGACTGATTATTGAACAGTGATTAATGCTATAATTATTTAACCCTTTAATTGTCGATTTGATTCCATCGATTGAATTGTATTGAAACCAGTAGTCTAAGTAAAGCTGGCCGAAGTGGTTTTGAATCTCTAAAGGAATATCAGTTCCTTCAAGATAGCAGGTACATCCAACTGACGAGTGTCAAGTGGCACAAAACCTAGGTCCAGAGTTTTCTGCCAATAACTTCCAATCATATAGCAAGGCGGCAGTGTTTATTTAAATGAACAAAATGACAAATTTTTTGTCAGCTAACAATTTAAAAAAATCTTTTACGTGATAAAAAATATCATCTTTCTGAAACAAAAATCATGACAGTATTAATTCTTTTCCTGTATTACCGATAACTTTATCTTCACTGTAAAGATACGACATCCGAAAACTTGAAGTGTTAGAGAGAATATTTTTAGACCAAGATTAAAATATTGAAGGTATTATTTCCTTTGAGTTTAATAAGATTACTTGAAGAATATAACTCCTTCAAAAGGTATTACGAAACACATGTCAAAAATAGATACCTGAAATCAGTCACGGTGATACAAACTTTGATTAATTTTATTCGTGCTCATTATATCTGCAAAATCTAATTATGTAATTATGAATTTCTGAAATCTTAGATATTTTTAATCTTTTTATTAAGATAATTTTAATAGTTTCTTTTAGCTTGTATAGTGATATTAAGTGTAATAAGTTAAATTTCTATTGAATTTCTGTCCAATAGGCTGATGAATTTCATTTTGAGAAATAATACAAACAGTTTAATTGTAAATGTACATCTTTACAATAATTAAAATATAATAAGGGTATGATATTAACATAATAGGTTAAACTTTCACAATATATTCACATTCTTAGTCTCTTATTCAACTCATATAAATAAAACAAACTTTATGTAAATAGAAAACAATCAGCAAAACTTCTAAATATAAAATAATCGCACAAAGAGAATACAAACTGAAAACTATAAATGTTTTCATACAAAACAAAACAAATAACGAACTGATCAAAGTTTAATATGTGCTCTATCTGATTCTGACTTGATGATAAAAAGTTAATCTGCCAATTGTTAAGACTTAAAAGTGGTGCGTCCAATCCGCTTGTGGAGTAGTAGTAGTAGTAGTGTGGTGTATGCTATTTATGTCGACAAACATAATTGTTATGCAACATCAGTCGGAAGTGGAGAACCTGGCAGCAGAAGGCTAAGAAGATTGAGTTGAACAGAATAAAAGGGAAAATAGAAAGGCATCGTGAACTGGAAATTTCATACAGAATGTGAGGGACAAATAATGGAAATTTACAAATCAGGTATTTAGTGTATGCTTCTCATATTTACCAAAAGAATCTGTAATTTTGTATCTAAACACCTGTGTTCTCATTCACAACAGTAGTAGTAGCAGTATACTGATGTGTTGTAAAAACTGATCATTAACTTGTGAAACTTGAACCCTTGAATACTTGAATAGCTAAGTAAAAAACTACGAATAAAAGAATATTCAGTAGAAAACTTACTTAATTCCTAGTACCGTAAGTTCTGAAAGTTGACCAATTGATTTTGGCAATTCATCTATTTGATTATAATCCACAAGAAAACGGGATAGCAATTTACAATTGCCTATATCTAATGAAAGAAAATAAGAAATATGTTGTTCACATTTAAACTAACTAAATTTATTTATATAAACTATTGATGAACTAATTCATTAATTAGTTAAAAGACAGTCGAACTATGTCCCATTTCAATTAATTTTTGTATTGGTTGATTCAATCATCCCATTGATGTTCAGGACTGCAAATGATTAGTCTCTTATGGGAATACGTACATCCATCTCTGCTAACAATACATGTGTTCCATTTTGTTCATCATGCTTTTGTAAATCATACGGAGCAAAAATAAACACAAGAAAAAATTCCCGCAATCATTATTATATTCATCTATTTAAATATAATTTTACATTGATGAAATAATGATAGGATTTATTTTGACTGTGATTATGGTGTACTCTCAGTTCTTTCTATCTAACCAATACTCTCCTTAACTAGATTCATTATTTTAAAATCATGAATAGTGATATCGTTCTACGACAAAGACATAATTATAACGTAATATGAAATAATTGCAAAAGAAATATCATATGCATAATACTATGCTGTCAAGTAATCATGGAAATTATATAAAAGAGTTTGTAGACATTAATAAGTTTCAGTTATAATCTGTTATCTCAATAGACGTAGTTTATAAAATAATAATTTTATCACTTATCTTTACTAAAATGAGTAGAATGCTGATTTACTTGACCTTGAGTACAACAATGTGTTATGGTACTTTTTCAGAAGACTTAATAGATTCGAATAATGTAATAAATTAGTATCACTGTATTGAACGAAAAATTATATGCTCAATGTCAAGTTTCAACGTATTATTTACTGGTATAAAAGCTTGATTGAATATTAGGTTGCAAAAGATTATTGAATGGCCATAAATATAGCTAATTTCGACTGATTTTGAAGATTGTCTTCTTTATGTACTAATATCATCTGAAGGTTGGACATACATACAATTCCATACCTACTCATTAGTCCATAAGTATTCTCTGTTACATAAAAAATTCTGGGTTCCATTCTGTGTAGATCTAATATTATGTAGTTTCCAAGAGTTCTCGATTTTAAGTTAATCCATGATGAATGAAATTAATTTTATAAAACCGCTCAAGTAAACTTCTAGAAAAAGTTCCAATATTATTTAGCATCATTAATTCATTTGAAATCAATCATCTTGAAATTTATGTAATACTTTAAGTTGAAAAACTAATTGCCTTTTTATTTCTTTCAAAAACTCAGAGTGGAAAACATCAGTTTTTGGATTTTCTTTTTAAAGTAAGTACTTTCTTGGTATTTCTATACATCAAAACATTTGATTTACATTTTTTTCAAACACTGTTTACTAACTTGTTATTATTAATTCATATATGTATGAAGATATTATGACAGAAAAATATAATTTATAGAAAACATTGGTGTTTTGCAATAAAAAGCACTCAATTGTTATTTTTATCAGTTAATAATAAAAGAAAACTTTTAAATTGACCCAAATAAAAAAGTGTATATAAGTGCTGAATAAGTTAAATAACTTTTTCTAGTACGGGAAACTCATTTTTATCTGGAAATACTATACTGATTAAGATCGTTTTTTATGTAATGGAGTCAACTTCGACTGACCATTAAAAAAACTGGAAATGATTAGTCTCAAACAGTGTATAGAAACTTTGAAAGATAATAAGGTAGATTTGAAAAGTGTATAAAACAGAACCAGATAACAAAATGAACTTCGTAGCTGACCATAAACCAGTTCAATATACAAAAGTATATATATATAAGTTAGTAATCAAGGACTAAAGTATAATATACTGACGACCTTAAGCCACTTATCAGTCAATCAGGAAACACTGCCTTGCTATAAAATGATTAACAATAAAAAGCAATAAAACAGTGGAATAGTGGTCTTGATCTGATTAATCATTCTTTACACGTTAAAGTGTTCATTATATTAAAGTAACAAAGTCTATATATTAGGAGTTAGGCTAGGGTTGTGAGTTAAGGTTATAACACTATAGGGTTTTCATCCACAACTGATAACAGCTATGTTACAAAATGGCTGTCGTCAGATAATAGAAGTCAAACTAGAATTTCATATTATGGTTACATATTATGGATATGGTATTAATCACGAACCGATGTTAGTTAAAGTACAATGATGTTTTACTAACCTTTTATTTACAAACTTAGGAAACTTGACGTTGAGATTTAAATTCAGTAAAGAAAATACTGCTGAATCATACTAATTAATTAAAACAGAATCTGCATCAGGAGTTGGTATTTCATGTGTTTTGGCTTAAGCGCTAAATTCTGTTCATTGTTCGATTGCCTATTACACATTTTTATCGTTTTCAAGCATCTCATAAACAAAATATTGTCAATTTTTACTTATGTCATAACAACATACAAGCTGTCTAGCACTGCATCTTACTTTCACGCAAAAATATCCGAGGTTCTATGTCAATTCTGATTAGTTTACTCAAGGCTGTGAGCATAGTACACTTTTTACTGAGTGCGTACTAAATCAAAAATATAGAGCACAGAAGATACTTAACTAATACTTTGCTGCATTGTCATCTGAAAGCTATCACCAAGCTAGTAAAACATAGAAAGTAGAATGAAAATTAACCATAGACTTTTTTAATACGCAACAATACCTTATTAGTACAGCAGATCTTTGGAAATTCAATTTACCGACTATATTACAGACTGATTGTTACCTACAGATCGATCACTGGTAGAGTGGTGAATACTCACTCCTGCGAAATCCTATATACCAAAAAAATAGCAATGTGATCCCTTTCTGTTTTTAATGATTGTCTAGTTAAACCCAGACCATCATGTAAGAAACAAACAATGGATTACTTTTCATACAACAAATTATTAATGGATTTTTAAGGGTTAACTGGAAAGATAATAGAACGTCATCTAAATGATACATGATTACTAACAGTCAAACTTTAGCTTCAGACTACTGATTACCTTTCACTATAAACTATACTTCTTTGTACATATATCTAGTGTAATTAGGAGTGAAATTCATAATTCATATGTTACTTATAGTGAACAAAAACCTGATATTCAGTAACGTATTCTTGTTTACTTTTCATATTCAATATTATATTACTCAATTTTTATCATTAGAAAAAACTCTCGAGATGGGACAAAAACCCTTAAAATCTAAGAAATAATAAAAACTGGTATTATTCTGTATTTGGTTAGAAACATAGGGTAATGAACCTTAAATAAACCGATTTTTCAGAACTTTACGTGAGTGTTTTATACGAGTTGTTTTACTTGTGTATTAATCAAAATGAACTTCGTACACTGATAACAGTAATAACAATAATAACCATGGCGAAGAAAACACGATATCACCATTGAATGTCTATTCAAATATAAATATTTAAAATCTACTATTCGTTATACATTTGATACTTCAGTGCCATAATATGTACTTAAGACTATTTAGAAAAAAAACAGTTTTCAGGTAACTGAACACTTGAGTTAATGAGTACTGGTAGTGATTATGTTTTGAAGTGCAATTACAAGCCATGGAAGTTGTTAAGAACATTTATATGAATAGATTTTCACAGTTTTTTTTTAAAAAAAGTGCAGTAAAGTCTTTCATTCTATTATGTTCTTATTGTCCACTGTATTAGCAAACAATTTTACAATCAGGGTATCATGAAAACTGGAACATTTAAGCTTAATGAAAAAAAAAATGGTAAAGCTTTAAATAAAATAAACAAACTTGACATTTAATTGTTATTGTTTTTTTTTTAGTTTCACTCAACTTTGATCATGTATATGCAAACATTACCTTTAAATATATAATAAACCTCTTAGTTAGCGTTCATAAACTTGTATAAACTACAAAGAACAAAAATCTCATAAATAATACAACAATTAGTAAATTCATTCATAAGATACTAGGTAATTGAAAATAATAATGAAGTTCCTTTGTATAAATTAAATTATATCAGACATAAGTTTGTTTCTCAAAAAATAATGTACCTCACTAGATAAAATCATCATTATTATTAATCAATTATTATTACTGTTATTTTAATATTATTTAACTCAGGTTTCCAGTTCAAAAATTTTGCAATCAAACATTAAGTTAGTTTCTGTTACAGGATAACTTTAACTAGTCAATTACTAAACAGTAGAAAGAGCTGGACAACTGTTTTTCACTAGTTTTACACTTCTCATTAGTGTACAAAAATGACTATATGTGTGACTAAACCCACGATCTTCAAGTTTCATAGTGAAAAAGTTACTTTTAGATCATGTAGTCAGTAAGCAGTGGTTTGTGTATCCAATCAGTGAATTCCTGATATAGTGCAACGATTATACAATGTCAGTAATGATTCCTATCACACTCGAAACGTGACGGAACCTGGTTATATCATCTGGTTCAGGGAAAGTAACACTACTAAACGTAATCATAAACAACCTAAAACATAGAATATATGAGCATCATTTAAGATGTCACACTAAACCAGCACAACGAGAACAAGTTATCAAGACAAGTGCTAGAGTAGTAGGAGAAGTAACAGTGTCGATCATAGTTATAAACATTAGACATAGATAATATGATTCTATGACAAGGAATTAATTAATGTTCAACAATTTACATTCAGTGGTATTTTGATAGGGAAGACTGACTCTCCAAACAGTAATTCATAAATTTTTAGTTTTTCCTCGCATGTATTGTGCTGAAATATTAAGAGTTAATTATAAGAACTTTCGTCGGTAAGACTATAATTTATGGACGACCTTTGAGTGACGTTAAAGTGACCCTGAAAATATCCACCTACTTACTGGGGCTAAATGATGGTTATAAAGCAGTGTGAAGAATAATGATTAAGATTTATAGTTGATGTTTAGGGCTAGGAATTAGATTTATTTTCATCACGAACTGACATCAGCTAAAATGCCGAAACGTTATTTAGACAAATAAGTGAATGAATTTCGCACCAAAATCCAAGACCCGTTATCCTAATTCTGATTGGTTCATTC